AAGTATTTTACATTTTATCATTTCTCAGGTGATATTACGTTAGAAGAATTGATCGCAGTATTGCCATTTGGTGACACTGCTGATATAGTAGTACTTAAAGGAGAACATTTACTTGGAGCATTAGAACATTCTGTACATAGATATAGTGCAATTCAATCGTATGGAGAATTTCTTCAAATGTCAGGTAAGTATTGTATTCATATCACTTATCTTGTGTATGCACTTGTATAATACTCTTGGCAGTTCATTATCTGGACAAGAAAATACTAGTAGATGGGATGGTTGTGCGACTAAACTGCTCTCAATTTTATTATAGGGATACGAGTTCAGTACAACCTTAGTAGACCATCTGGAGATCGGGTTGTCGACGTCCAAGTTCACTGTGTCGAATGTGAGAACCATGTTCCCGTATATGAACCGCTAGATTTGAATAAAAAATATGCCGTTATCACAACAAATTATATTGCAAACGGAGGTGATGGATATGATGTGATCAAATATAATAAGATAGAGCACAAAACGGGTAAGTTAACCAAACTTGGCGATGGATTTGCTGACATCTGAGAGAAAAATACAACATGAAAGGTACAAGCTAATAATAGGTTGATGGACATGATGATGTCATCTGAGAGGATGAAAAACAGCATGAAATGGATAAACTAAGTAAATTTGATGATGGAATAAGATAAAACGAAATAATACAGCACAACATAAACAGGGTAAGCTAACCAAATTGGATGATGGAGAATAAGATACAACATGACGAGGTTAAGTTAACCAAACGAATTGATGGATTTGAAGTAAAAAGAGACAATAATGGAACAGCATGAAATAGGTTGAACGATCGAATGAGTGATGGGCATGATGTTATCTGAGAGAATAAAAAACAACATGAAAGTAAGTTAAGCAAATAGGGGGGTAGATATGATATAAAATAAATAGCACAGCACGAAATAAAACTGGTAAGTTTATTGACAGACCATCACTTGGCGGCGCAGAAACATACATCCGGTTCCCTTGCTATATGTAGGTTACCATTGCATGCTGTCCAAATAGGGTTGTTAGGTATGATTTAAAAAGAAAACGGGTAAGTTTCCATAGTGGAAGAAAATATTTATTTAGATTAACCTGACGTCACTAGGTTTGAAAATCAAAAACAAGTGATACACAAAAAACATGATACAAATCTCCAATTTGCACTTTTGGGATTGTTGTGTTTACAATCATGATGAAATGATTGGGAAAGCAACTTTAAGAAGCCTGGTGAATTGGTTAATGCCTTGATAGACTCAACATGTACTGGCCTCTTCTCTATTGGACATCTAAATGCGCGACGAGAAATAATATTGAATTGTAACAATTCTCTGATTCACATTATCTGGTAAATAATATAAATTATATGTAGATGATTTATGTGATAAACTTCTAGATTTTGGTTTATGGCATATGACCTTTGAATATATTTGTTGCGTTTTCAGGCAGAGTGGATCTGGAGGTGATAACAGATTATATTGAGGCAGTAACGCCTTTACAGAATGGACTAGAATCTCGTATATCGTTCGTCGATTCTCATAAGAACCCACTGCAATAAAATGAGTTGTCATGTCCCAGCTTTAGACAAACCAATAAGGAAAGAGTTGATGGTGTTAATGAGGCTTCATAGGCTTAATATGTAAACAAATTCAGCACATAATAAACCTAATTCCACAGTTAGACATACTATTAACCTATTAGTTAAGCTTCATGTTAGCATAATTGTATGTTACTGAATCCCTGTTTCCCTCAATGCCATATATGGTATGAAACGATAATAAATAGTGCTGTTAACGCAACTATAATGAGTGATTGTAGTATTTGACAATGTAATAATACAGATCAGATACAATATGTGGTTTATCAATTATGGCAAGCCAAACGTTGCAATATTAGTAAAAACACATTTGTGTTCAATATTCCAAATTTGTGTTTAAAAATGCATTTTATATGCAATTTTTTTTCATTTTATTTGCAACTATTTCATTTTATTTGTCTGAAATTTCAATTTTATGAGTGTGAATTCGATTTTTCGAGTTTTTTTTATGTGCAACAAGTCGCTTTCGTAGTGGACAAATGGCGAATGATGAATATGGCGCTCATTCTTCACCAGTTATTTTGGAGTTATTCGACACTTGCGAGAGAAATTACCTTGTCAACTAAGATACCGCATTTGTGAAGTTAATCATAGATCGTCTTAATAGAGCATTAGATTTATTGTTTACAGTGGCGTTTCAAAAACCCCAATTTTGTAATTGTTTTTTTAACAATAATATTGATATGGCTGGAAATTTTCAAAGAGCCGTCAAGCTCAATACCCAAATCTTTGACCGATGTCTCTCGCTTCAAACGGGAATCCCTAATTATATTATTGTAACCAAACTTGTTCTTTTTATTTGTGAATGAAATTAAACAACATTTTTCTATGTTAAGCTTTAAATGCCATTTTGAACACCATGCAACCACACATCAAGGTCTCTTTGTAATAACAATACATTAGTCATAGAGTTAACATCTCTGTAAATGTTCTAGTCATCTGCAAAAAAGAATCATATTTGAAGATTTCGCACATGAATGCAAATCATTTAGATATAATATGAATAATAAATAACCAATTATAGATTCATGTGGTACACCAGACAAAACAGGTATCTCTCTCTCTCTCAAATATTAGTTGCCAAGCTTTTTGA